GCGCTAAAAGCAGAAGAGGGGCCATGAACTGTGGGAGATTTCATGGCCTCGGCCATGGTGTCCAAAGACTGCCGCTAGCCCCCCCCCCCTCTTGGATGCCCCCGAAATGGGCAATATTCGTTAACGTCGAATCTGAGAACCGGATCGAGTCGGAATGTGTCTGAACACTTGCCCCACCATCCAACGCAATATGAGCCTCCAGGAGTAGCCTCAATATAACCGTGAACAGATATGACAACAAGAAATAAGTGAGCATGTCAGAGTACCAAGAACGCCGTGCTGACTCGAGCATCCAAGAGTACCCTCAAAGTCGTACATGAGACAGCCAGACCACAAAAGGGATGATCGCTCCCAAGTCGGAGAAGACAAACGACTAGCATGTGCGAGTCAGAGCGCCAAGCCAGAACATCTCGCAGCCTCTCCGCGCCGAGCTGCCTCAGCAGCCAGGACCAACATCGACGGGACAAAGATAGCGGGCGAGCTGGCGCTTGCCAGCAAACGCCATGCTGACCTGAATACGAGCCAGCCTCCACAGCCAGTCACGCCACGAATTATCATGCATTGCCAACAAGTGCTCATGCACACGAGCTTGAGCTGAGGGCGGCCAGCCGCTCGCGAAGCTTTGCCGCCGCCGCGCCACTAGCGGTTCCAAGGCACACCAGCCAGCGATCGCGTCTGTGCACCCCAGGACTGCAAATGAACAGCCTCTCGCTCTAGCTTGCCGATAACCTCGGGCCAGGACAGCTGCTCACGCTCGCACAGATGGCGTATTTCCCCCATGACCCGAATATAATGCGTGCTATAGTCAACCACGGATGCGGTTGGGCTTGTTTGAACACCAATTGCACGGGTGAAGCTGGCCGTAGCCGTCGCCGCGGGTGCCGCTCTGGGCCGCGCTGGCGTCTGCGCTCTAGAGCCTGCCGGCGGCCTCGAGCGCCTCGCCGTCGGCCACGTGCTCCTCGGATCGCGCGACCTCCAGATTCGCTTTGCCGGTGGCCGCGGGCGCCTCGCCGCGCGCCTCGCCGTGCGCCGCGGCCCTCGCCGGTGCCGCGGCGCACGCCTCGGCCGGCATCCTGGGCAGCGCCTCCGCGAGCGGCTCAGCGGCGGGTAGCCCGCCCGCCTGCGCCATCGGCAGCGGTACGTCGTGGAGGGCGTCGAGGTCGTCCATCTCTTCGTCGAGCTGCCGGTCGGGCACGCTTTCGAGGCTCAGCAAGCGCAAGCCCGGCCTCGGGCCGAAGGCCGCGCCCACAGCCTGCTCCGGCGAGTTGCCGGGCGCCTCCGGCGGTGCGCCCTCGCCGTCCTCGAGGGAGGAGTTCGAGTTGAGCGCGTTCGAGTCGAAGGCGCTGGGGCTGACGCTCGGCGTCTCAGCAGCGGCCGCGGGAGCCCCCGCGGCGCCCTCGGGAGCGCCGGACCGAGCCGGATGTGACCGTGCCACGAGGGGTTCCGGAGCGAGAGGAACGATCCTTGCTCTCTGGAGCCCGCTCCGCGGCAACCGGCTTCCAAGCAGAGACCACGCCGAGCGGCTCGAAGAGGCCAGCCCCGCCAGGCCAGGAGCACGTCCCATGCCTCGGAGGCAGACCCCTCGGGCTCTGAGTCGGAGCCGTCGAAGTGATAGCTCAGCGGCTGCGCAGGTGGCGCTGGCTGTGCCGAATCCTGTAGCGCGCCGCCGTCGCCTCCGCTGCCTGCACGTACGCCTGCGCCTGCCTCGCTCGCCTCTCCGCTCTCCGCGCGCGCACCTCGAGAAGCGGGCTCGGCGAGCTCGCATGCGCTGCGGGTGCGGTGCGGGCGGCGGCGTGCGCGAGTGCGACCGCGAGCGGCGTCGGCACGAGCGGCTCGGGGACGACGCTGGCAAGCCCAAAAGCTCGCTGAGCGTCATCGCCGTGGCGGCGCCCTCCGGGGCTGGCTCCGCAGCCGGCGTCCAGTCGTTCCGTCTTCTCGTCCTGCACTTCGACGCTCGTGACCGCGTCGGAAGCAGAGCTCCTGCTCCTGGAGCGTAATCGGAGGACCTCTCCCGCCCCCGCCCGAGGATCTCCCTGGGAGGCGTCAGCGGTGGGAGCTCGCCATCCGGCATCTGCGCCCTCGGGAGAGGAGCGCGGCGCGCGAGCCCGCCCCGTCGGCGGCGCGAGGGGAGCACGATCGGGCTGCAGCTGCAGCGCGGGTCGCCGCCGTCGGGCCTCTGCTCGAGCCTCCGCACGGCCCATCCGCTCTGCCGCCAGTCCCGGCGGCTGCTGCTCCTGCTGCGCCCTCACGCCCCCCGTCACCGCCGCTGTCACCGCTGCTCGGATGACCTCCGCGAGGCCGGCGGTGACGAGGCATGCCACGGGCCGCGGCTGCGCGCCCCGAGGTCCGAAAGAGGAAAAGACCACACGCGGCGTGGTACTTGAGCTTGAGGCTGGGCCTTGAGCTTCAGCGTTGAGCTTGAGCCCGGATCGAGTCGGAATGTGCGTCGGATCGGGGTGCCGTGGCACGGGGCCGGAATCGAAGCGGATCGGCCGCGCCAGGATGCATAGCAACGCCACGTAGGCATCGTGCCGGATCGGATGAAAGAACAACACGCACTCAAACTACAGGGAAGAGGAGTGGGGAAGGGCACGGAGATGAAGGCGCTATACGGTATGGGTGCGGATTGTCGGACCCTGAGGGGGGCTCCCGTTCGAGCAGGGGCCCCCATCCGACAACATAGACGTATAGCCCCCCCACGGAATTCCACACCGAAAACTCTCGAGGTGGAACAGATATGGGTGCTGGTTGTCCGCTCGTGAGCATCGGATGTTCGTCGGAATGCCAGAATCGAACTGGCGATCGGGCTGGCCGGCACCGACACCGAATCAAATCGGTCGGATCGAAACGCGCCCGTGACGGGTGGTGGCAGGGCGGCGGGGGCGCTGCCGACAGGACCTCCTGCCGCTGCCGAGGAGCAGGCGGCGAGGGACGGCGGAGACGACGGCGGAGGTCCTCCTCCTCCTCTTCCTCACTCCTCCTGCTCCTCCTCCTTCTCCTCCTTCTCCTCCTTCGCCTCCTCCTCCTCCTCCTCCTCCTCGCTCCTCCTCCTCCTCTCCTCGCTCCTGCTCCTGCTGCACCTCCTCCTCCTCCTCCTCCTCCTCCTCCTCGCAGAGGCCCTCCTCCCTCCTCCCCCCCCCCTCGGCGGCGGGGAGCGGGCGTTGCCGACGGGACCTCCTGTCGCTGGCCGATGGGGGAGCCGGCGAGGGACGGGATGGCCGGCAGAGCGGCCGGGGGCGGTCGTCGCCGCCGCCGTCGTCGTCGTCGTCGTCGTCGTCGTCGTCGTCGTCGTCGTCGTCGTCGTCGTCGTCACCGAGGTGTCCGAAGCCCGCCGAAGCGTGGCGCCGCGGGCTGTGCTGCCGCTCTCGTGCCCCCCCCGGGGGGGGCACGAGGAGGGCTGTGCCAGAGGCCAGACAGCGGAGGTGCGGCGGGCCCCCACGAGCGCCAGACGAGCCCCCGAGATCCGACGTCACGCAAAGCTGCAACCTCGCAGTGCCAAGCAACGAGTCGAAGCAACGGGAGCTAGGAACGAGTCCAAGCAATGCCCGTCAGCGCAGAGCAATGCCAAGCAGGCCTTCCCACTGCATTGCTCTGTCTTGCTCACAACTGCTCTGAGCTGCGCTGGGGGAAAGGACCCCCAATCGGAGCCCCCCTGAGAAACGACGTCGCGAAAAGACTGCAACATCGCTAAGAAATCGCGACGGTTGCCAGAAATAGGGCGAGAATGCCCGGCTCGAAAAAATCGTAACCCATCATCGGGCTCGCGCCGCTTGTCGCTTCGCAAATCGGCTACACGCAAGAGTGATCCTTCGCCAGAGTGACCGCTGGTGCAGGCCCCCAAATGGCTGAACGCGATGCGATAGGAACGGCTCCGAACCGGGACCCGCAGGTCATGTTGTTTGCATCGTACTTGAGGGCTGCATCCCAGAAATCCCAGACCCAGAAATTCCAGAAACAGTGCCTGCCCGACACGCTAGCGAGGTGTCGGTCGAACGAGTATCGCCTCCCAGGGCCCGACGCGTGAAAATCCTCCAGTTTCGACACTTCCTTGATGCTCGGATTTCTTTCTGGTGATCAAGACTAAAGTCGGTTCGAGCATCTCAACCTGAAGGGCGAAAATGCCCGGAGTGAAAACAGTGCCACGCCCACTGATCTCAGGGGACGGGCTGCTGAGCTCCAGCCTCGCGCCGCCGCCGCACCTGGGTTGCGTCTGGCGGGGCGGCCCCGAGCTGGCGGCGGTCGTCGTCGTCGTCGTCGTCGTCGTCGTCGTCGTCGTCGTCGTCGTCATCGTCGTCGTCGGTGCGGGTGGCTTGGGGGCCTCCCTGCGTGCGAGTCGCAATCACATGGGCCTGCAGATCGTTCTAGGCCTCAGCAGCGGCGCGCTGCCGAAGGTTGCGCTGAAACACTGGCGGCCACGGCCTCGTGCCTGGTCGTGATCTCCTCCCGTGTGGTCTCGATCGCGGTGTGCGCCGCGGCGGCGCCGCGCAGCGCTGTGACTATCAGGGCCTCTTAACCCCGCGTCCTCCTGCAGCGGTGGTCGGCGGTGGCCCATGCAAAAGCTCCACGGAACGCGCGGGACCAGGAGTTCAGCATCCTTTAACCGATCCCCATCCCCACTGGCGTGGCCTTGGTCACTTACCACCCCAAGTGCTGTTCCCTTCGGGTTTCGCGGGGCCTATCCGGGTAGACGATGCTGAAGGGTAGAGTGCCTCGCAAGCGTGCTCATCGAGAATCGACCGCTCGGGCGAAAGTACCCCGCGCTGAAAGTAGCATGGGGATGGACGGGCGGCCTGAGTTCTATCTGGGGGCTCCTCCTGCATCGGTTGGCCCATTGTGGACCCAGGTTCGAGCCACAGTGGCAACTGGCGGGTAGTAGGAAGAGGAGAGGCAACAGCATCAGGAGCAAGAGTAATAGTTGCACCAGGAGCAAGAGGATGAGGAAGAGGAGGAACAGGAGGAGGAGGACGAGGACGAAGATAAACTGACGCGGCGCTGGGATCCTGGCAGTTGCTGGCCCGCAAGAAGCGCGCGTGGAGGTCGAACGCGTACCGGAAACCTCCCTCCAGCCTCTCCTCCCTCATTCCGCTTATCCTCCTATCCTCCCCTATGCCCCTCCCCCTCATCCCCGTGCCTGGTGGGAAGTGCAGGAGGAGGAGGAGGAAGAGGAGGAAGAGGATAAAGAGGAGGTCTGATTGGGGTTGCTTCAGCCTCCGGGCCTGAGCTAACCCCTTGGGATTATGGCCATGGCTCGCCGTTGAAGGCGGCGAGCTTCCAATTACATTGGTCTTGAGCCCAGCCGTGGCGACGAGAAGTCAGCGCACAGCTGAAATTTAAAGTAGTTCGGTTAGCCAGCGACTGCATATATAGATATACACAGATAGAGAAAGAGAGAAAGAGAGAGAGAGAGAGAAATAATAACAAAACTGAGACAACAACAAACATGCAAAAAAGGAAAGAGAAGCAGAGAGAGAGAGAGAGAGAATGCTTACGAGAAGTGCGCGCACGCGCCCCCCACCCCATCAATAGGGTTGTTGAGGGTGGGATGCGTTGGCGCACGCTCGCGATGCTCGCGTCCAAGCCCCCCCCGGCTGCGCCCGAGAGGGAGCTCCCTCGCCTCCACCCCCGCGCCGCCCCCTTGAAAAGGGCAATGTGGCATGCGTCGCACTCCCAGCGGATGCACCGCTGTGTGACTATCGGCAAAAAGCGACAGTGGCGGACGACCAACGACGAACGACTACAAAGGGGCGACGGACGGCAAACGACGGACGACGGATGACGACGATCGTCGAATGACGAACGACGAACAATGAACGGTGACCAGGACGACGACTGACGACGAACGACGAAAGACGAACGTCGAACGACGCTGCGCATGCGGGCGCATCGCAACACGACCGCCGCGCGGGGGATGGGAGGGGGGATCTGCATGACAAGAAACTGACAGGCTTTCTTGGCTCGCGCGTCGCATCGGCGGCGGCCTCGGCGTGCGATTTTCGCGCGGGGGTCGACGCGCGGCGCCAAGCAGCCTCCTCGCGCGACTGTGCAGCCGTCGCGCACGCAAACAAGGACTCGCGCGTCGCACCAGCGACCCGGTATGCAAGTGCTCGCGCTGGGGTGGCGCGCAGCGCTAGGCAGACTCTTCGCGCGACTGGGCAACGCTCGAGCGCGCGGACGAGGACTCGCGCGTCGCGTCGCCAGCAGTCTCGGCACGCGATTTCCGCGGGGGGGTCGACGCACGGCACCAAGCAGCTTTCTCGCGCGACAGGGTAGCGTTCGCCCGCAAGAGAGAGGACTCGCGCGCCGCGTTGTTGATGGCCTCGGAACGCAGATTCTCGCGCGGGGGTCGACGCGCGGCGCCAAGCAGCTTCTTTGCGCGAGTTGGCAGCGCTCGAGTGCGCGGGGGGAGGTCTCTTGCGTAGCATCGGCGGCGATCTGAGAATGATATTTCGGCGCTGTGGCTTCGATCCGCGAAAATGATGGCGCCTCGCTGCGCGACCGGACATGCTCGCGCGCGAATGTCTCTGCGGATGCGCTGCAAACGCGCCGCATATGCAGGCGCATCGCTACGCGAACTGCGCGGGGAGTGATGTGGGGGGGCCTGCGTGAAAAGAAATGGAACGACTTTCTCTCGTGGTCCGTCAGGCCGAGTCGACTGGGGTTTCCTGGGAGCTTTCTGGGGCCTCCTGAGATGCCCCATTGTGGCCTTCAGAAGCTCCGCTTTACCGAATCTCGCTCAAGATGCCTCACCCAACCTGTCTTTGCTCAAAAATCGAACAAAACAGCCCCAAGGTGATCCCAAAACACCGCAACATGCTCGCAAGACAGCCCCAAGTCTTACCCAATATGTGTGCCCCCAGGAAGCCCTCTAATCACCCCAAGAAACCCTCCCACTGCCCAAGATGGCCCAACGATGTCCCGGAAGGCCCCGCGAGAACCCCCCCGAGAGCCCGCATACTTTCCAACCCAATGGCCCCGAAGCCACGAGTTCACTAGCCAGGGAGCCAGTGGCAATAGGCGCATACAGTTATGTCTGCCGCGCTCGACGCTCATCCGCGAGTGATTTGGACGTGTTGAGTCCTATTGCATCCCTCGTGGTTGATCTCTCCGGCGTAAAAAGATAAAACGAAATACCGGCATAAACATAAACTCGCGGAGCTCCGCGAGGACCTCTTGGATCGGCGCCGGACCCCACTCCCTTGCGCGCGGGGGCTCCAGTGCAGATCCAAGAAATTCGCACGGAGCTCCGAAGTGTGGCGGCGACTCGCCAGAGGTATCTCCGATAGATAGACAAGAAAGCGATGTGCAGGATGCGCAGCGTTATGAGGCTTGTTTCTGGAGGCACAGCGTCAGGAGAAACACAATGTGCAGGAGGTCAATGGCTTTATTGTCCGCCACAGGATACAGATTGTGCAAGTAATTACGTATAGGAACATGGGAAACCATTGGCTTGGGCACAGCTGCCCTGCCATGTGCTCTTCGACTCGCCGAGCAACCGCACGTGCGACTTCGCACCCGGTCGAAACCGTGCCGCAGGATGTCTGTCGCCCAGCCTGCGCAACGGACGTGCGCTTCTTCGCACGTGCCCGGGCGCTTGCCGGTCAAATTGCCTTCTACTGACCACCCGTGCGCCTCGGCACCTGGTCGAAAAAACGGGCGGACCCCAGCAGGATCCTGCGTGCACGCCTGCCCCTCGACCTGCCCCCCCTTAAGAGTCCGCCCCTGGCTCTCCTCTCGCCCCCCTTGTGGGCAGGAAGCGAGCCGGTCCTGGGGGAAGCGGGTCCCGCACCCCGGGGACCTTGTCGTCGTTGGACGGCCCCAGGGACCGCGGAAAGCCTCGAGAGCCAGAAAGCGGCTTAGAACCTCGGGGCCCGATTGCTTCGTGGCGACACCCCGTCGTCAGATCAGGGCCCGGGTCTCCGGCGGCCTTCCGGTCCGACTCGGGCACCCCCGGAAAGCTCTCGGCGAGGCGCAGCTGTTGGACCGCATGCCTGGGCGGGAAAAACCACCGAGGACCGACGAAAGCATCCGAAAACCTTGGGGATCCCACCTTCCGCATGCCCCTTTGCGCCGCTGGACCCAGGAGGGGCAGACGTCGGAGCAGGGCGAGTTGAGACAACGGGAGTTCAAAATCGGTCCCAGGACCCCTCCTGGGTCCAAACGCACCAATCTTCTGAGCAGAGTACAGCCGTGGCGACGAGAGGCCCCGAAGGCCAACTACCGTTGCCGGCTACGCGCAAGAGTGACTCTAGGCAAGAGTGAGCCTTGGCGCTCGGCTTGTCGATCGTCGCGTGAGGTGCGGCGCAGCGGCCTGCGTGCCTAGACTTGGTCCCTCCGGGCCCCCCCCCCGAAATTCGCGCACCAACGGTCACTCCAGCGAAGGGTCACTCTTGCGTGTCGTCGATGTAGCGAACAGGGAAAAAGTTGCAACATCACGAAACGTCGCGACTGGAACCCTAGACCCCGTCGTTCTGCGCCAATTTTGAACCGGATCGATCCGTGAGGGTCCCAGGGACCGATGCGGGGCGAAAATGCTCGGCTCGAACAAATTGAGATGCCAGGACCCCAAGGGTTGTCTCAGCTCGCCCTCCTCCAAGGCTCTGAGAGCTGGCTGGGCGGAGCGCGCGCCCGCGTGCCGCCCCCGGTGCTTGGCAGCCGAGGGCGAGGGCGGAGTGAGGGGCAACGATAGGGGGGGACAGGCTCCGGGGGGGAACGTCGACCAGGAACGTGCGGATTCGCGATCGGGGCCCCATCGCCGATCTATCCGCAATGTATCGCCGATTCCAGCTCGACGTATCCCTCCCTGAGTTGGCTCCCCTGGTGGTTTTCGGGCCGGCACTCGGGCCTCGGGCGGCCGTGCGGAGCGATGCGGGCACCCCTGGAACGCCCGCGAGGCGCAGCTGCTGGAGAGCATCCTCCCCTCTCCCCCCCTCCGCGGCCCCCCGTCGCCGCCCCTGACGGCGGCGGGCCACGGCGGGGGCCCGGAGGCCCGGCGGGCGGCGGCGCGGCCGCCCGCAGCGGCCGGCGGGTGGCCGGACCAGCAGGGCGGGCCGCGGGCCGCCCCGTGAGCTCTCGCGAGCTCACGGGGCGGAGGAGGAGAGGCGGGAGGGAGGGGGGGGGGGAGGGGGGGAGGGATTTTTTTCCCCATATCCTGAGTATGGGGTTCTTGTCATTGGCGGACCGCGCCGGAAGAACAGTCAGTCAGTCAGAACACCTCACCTCACCTCCCTCACTCAGACTCACTCAGACTCACTCATCACTCTGACTCACTCATCAGTCAGACTCACTCATCATCACTCAGACTCACTCATCACTCAGAGTCACTCATCACTCAGACTCACGCATCACTCAGACTCACGCACCACTCAGACTCACTCAGACTCGTTCTGAGTGATGACTGAGTGGGGTTCTTGTTCCCCATATCCTAAGACTCAGTCATCTCTCAGACTTACTCATCACTCAGACTCACTCATCAACCAGACTCACTCATCACTCAGACTCACTCACCACTCAGACTCCCTCATGCTCAGTTTTTTCACTCAGAGTTAGTCATCACTTAGACGGCCCCGAGAATAACTCATCACTCAGACTCGGTCCACTCATCAGATGACTCACACACACTGATGTTGAGGATGTCTCAAGCGATTGTGTGGCTTCAGCACTCCTAAGGGGGGCGGCGGGGGGTGGTTTCACGGGGTCCCGTTCGCGGAATGTTGTGGGGATGTCTCAGGCGGTTTTGGTTTTTTCTCCTTCAACATGTTTCGCTTTCGGAGCAGATTTGGAGGATGTCTCAGGCGATTCGCTGGTTTCAGCACTTAAGGGGGGTGGCGGGGGGTGGTTTCACGGGGTGCCGTTCGCGGAATTTTGTGGGGATGTCTCAGGCGGTTTGGCCATTTTCTCTTCCAACATGTTTCGTTTTCGGAGCAGATTTGGAGGAAGAGGAGGAGGAGGCAGGAGGAAGAGGAGGAGGAGGAGGAAGAGGAGGAGGAGGAGGAAGAGGAGGAGGAGGAAGAGGAGCAGGAGGAGGAGGAGGAAGAGGAGGAGGAGGAGGATGATGAT